CCTTCCTTCTGCTGTAGCATTTGTCTGGTGCAGATGTGCTGGCGAGGAGTTCTTTCGGGTTTTGTTATCTGAAAAAGCCTCTCTCACGTCCACTTCTGGAAGCAGCCTTTATGGTGAAGAATTCTACGCAGGCAGCGGCTTCCTTCCCGTCCTCCGCAGACACCGCCCAGTGGCCTGGCTTTGGCTTCCCTTCTCCTGTGGTCCTTGTCTTTGATGTTTGGTCCCTGGCTCATTTTATTATTTTTTATGTATGTGAACTTTTAAGCAACTTTTTAGTGATGGGCCTTAGTTTATTTCCTTTCTGTTTGTTGTGTTTGCATTTCAGAGAGTTTCATAGACTGTAGGTTTACAGCTTGAATCAAATTCAGACAATTTTCAGCCATAATATTTTTCTCCCCTTTTGAGAGCTGCCACTAGCATCCGTTAGGCTGCTTAAAATCTCCCCAGATCTGATGGACGCTCTCTACTTTTCTGCTACTGTTCTCAGCCTGTTGGCCCCCGTGATTCATTTTGGCTACTTTACATTGCCAAGTATTCAGGCTCACTAATCTTTTCTTCTGAAATGTTTAATATTTAATCTCATTTGATGTGGTTTTTCCTTCTCAAAAATTATAGATTTTATCTCTGAAAGTTCAATTTGGGCTTTGAAATATCTTTCACGTCTCTAAATGTTCAATTATTCCTCTAGCTTAGTCATAATAGCTTTTCAAAATATTCATCTCTGTGAATTCCATCGTGGGTGCCATTTCTAGATAAGTGTCAATCGGTTGATTTTTCTCCCCAGGACTTGCCTTTCATCCCTGCTTCTTTATACACCTGTCTGTCTTTACCAGATACTAGGCCTTGTGAATTTACCTTGCTGGATGCTAGATATTTGTGTACTTCTTTGCAAATTTTTTAGCTTTCTTCTGGAAGGAAATGAAGGTATTTGGAAACAGCCTGGTTTTTTGTGGTCTTGCTCTTAAGCTCTTTTAGGTGTGACTGAAGAGCAATTAGTTTAGTATTAATGTTTCTCACTATTGAGAGAAAACTTCGTTCTGTCCTACACCAGACAACCCTGAAGTCTGTGGCTCATCTCTGCTGCGGCTGTGGAGATGGCCCAGTGCATCCCCTGAGGCTGCTCCCTTTAAACTTCTGAGTCCCTCTGTCCCTGGCCCCTGATGTTTTTCTTGTGGAATGTGTCAGCCAGTGCTAAGCTTCAGTGCTGGTGTGGACTCTTCCAGATGCCCGGATTCTTCTCCACCCAGCCCTCTGCTCCCCACCCGTCTGCTCCCCACCCGTCTGCTCCCCAGCTCCCTGCTCCCCACCCCTCTTTCAGATGCTGAGTGCCGCTGGCCTCTCTGGCTCTCACCACCTCCCTCATGTCCTGGGAACCCCTCCAGGCAGATGCCTGTGGCTTCCATCTTTATCCCCTTGTCTCCCAGGGATCCTTGACATTTGCATCTCATGTGCAGCGTCTCCAGAACTATTGTTTTTTGTGTGTGGTTAGCTGCTTTTTACGTTGTTTTTAAAGTGGGAGAGTAAACCTAGTCCTTGTCACTCTGTCTTTGTCAGACATCCACAGAAGCTTGTTTTCAATGATGTGAAAAAATTCTTACACTTCAGCTAATCGTATCAATGTACACTACATCGCGTTACAGTTATTGCTGTAATATTGGTGTTTTCTTAAATTTTGTCCTTCATTCTAATGAGACTACTTTAAAAATAATTCCTTGGTTAATTAAGATGGAATCGTTTAGAATAAAATGAACCAAACTCAACTTTTCTCAAGAAAGGAATAATTTTTCAGTGTTCCTGGAGATTCCCCAAATTTATGTTTCTAAAGTTATGTTTGTTCCTAAAGCCTTTGAAAGTCACGACGCTTACACATCCCATGAAGCCCCCGGGAGAGGTCACTGGCTGTGCTCTATGCCTCTGTTTCAGGTGGCACGGCCGCGAGGCAGAGAGGCTTCCTGGGCTGCATTCGGGCACTGCAGGTGAACGGGAGGACCCTGGACCTGGAGGGAAGGGCCAAGGTCACGCCTGGTGTGGAGCCTGGGTGCCCCGGGCACTGCAGCACCTACGGACACTTCTGTCTCCATGGGGGGCAGTGCCGCGAGAGGCACCAGGGCTTCTCCTGTGACTGTGAGCTGTCTGCATACACGGGGCCCTTCTGCTCTAGTGGTGAGTGCCAACGGGGACCGGGGCCAATAGCAGTGTGTGGGCAGTGTGGACATTTAAGATTTAATACACATTTTCTGTGTAGCTACTTCATAAAAGAATCTCAATTCCTAAATTCCTGTGGTAAATCACTGTTTTACAGCCAATCTTTTTGTTAATTAGAAGGAAATGTGACTCTACTGTAAAATTCAGTATTGATCCCGTGGTCTTATTGAAATACTATCTGTGTATTTTATGTTTTCAGATCACGTGTTATTAAAAATCTGCCCCACATGGCCCTTGACTGTTTCAAACCTACTCAGATGACATTATTATTTAAGGTAATACCTTCCAGTGTCACAAGAAGAATGCTTTCCAAAAATATATTTGACAAGTATAATAAATACATTTTCCATTAAATATCAAAACAACTGTAATAGAATCACTTAAACCTCTTGCTCTGGGATTTGTTGATAATCTTGTGACACAATCAAAGTGATAGGATATTTTTCAGCCTCCCTCACCTAAGAGTTACAAGCCATGCTTTGCCAAGATAGAAGGAACCTGTTGTAAGATGTGCATGATTCTGGGAACGTTCTGATGCATTTCATGCACCCGTGGGTATGCACGGAAAACACCATGAAACAAACCCAGCGCTTTCACTCAGGAATCTCTGTGCAGCGTCATTCATTGGGCTTTGGAGTATAAGCTTGGATGCCAAATTGGATCAGCTGTTGATTTTCAAAAGAATTAACTGCCTAGAAATAGTGAGAACACAATTATATGTTATACTTCAAGAAAACTCTGTGTTGACAAACCAAGTCATCTCTCACCATTTCAAGACACAGGAGAAATCCATTTGTTCCAACAAAAACCTCAGATGATGTCAGCACAGGGGCTGGTGGCACAAGCCTCCCCCGCAGAGCCAAGGGCAGCAGAGCAGGTACACATTGGGAAAGGCAGGTCACTAGAAGCAAAGGAACAGCAGAATGAATGAGCCCCCAGTGTCAATGCAATCTCTGCCCAAATCATCGCCTGATCCTCAAGCTCCACAGCCTCAGGAAGACTTTCAAAGGCCGCCGGGACAGCAGGGATCCGCGGGGGGCAAGCCGGGGGAAACAGACTCACAGCTGTATCCGGGCATGTGAACCACCCCCCAGGCCAACAGCAGGGCAAAGATGCAGAGGCAGCAAGGGCAAGAAAGAAGGGCATTTGCAGCGAGGCTTCTGCAGCGTCCGGCTTTCAGTGATACACACCAGACATGCGGACAATCAAGAAATTATACTCCACATACATGGGGAAGATGTGGTTACTGAGAACTGACTCTGAATGGCCCATTTTTCTCACTGTTTCAGCAAAGACACTGAATAGATATTATATATTACTCCAAGAAAATGAAGTTCAGAGAAATAAAGAAAATACACCGTCAATGAATAAGCTGATGTGGAACTCCAACAGAGCAATGGAAACCATTTTAAAAACAGATGGAAATGTAGTAGCTGAAAGATACGATTACTGAAATTGAAGAACCAATTGTGTATTCCTGTGGGCTCAACAGAAGAAAGAATCGGTGAACTTGAAGACAGGGCAATAAGAATACCCCAACTGAAGACTAGAAAGGAAAGATTCTGAGGGAAAGTGAAGAGAGCCTCGGAGTCTTGTGTGACCACATCAATAATTAAATAATTTAATTCTAAACAATCCATGCGTCAAAGAGCTCGTAAATGAAATTAGAAAATAGTTAAATGGACCAATAATAAAAATACACCACATCAAAATTTGACTGCTAACATCTACAGCAGTATTTAGAGGAAAATTTATGACTTCAAATTATTCGATTACAAACTTCTGCTCTAGTGGTGAGTGCCAACGGGGACCGGGGCCAATAGCAGTGTGTGGGCAGTGTGGACATTTAAGATTTAATACACATTTTCTGTGTAGCTACTTCATAAAAGAATCTCAATTCCTAAATTCCTGTGGTAAATCACTGTTTTACAGCCAATCTTTTTGTTAATTAGAAGGAAATGTGACTCTACTGTAAAATTCAGTATTGATCCCGTGGTCTTATTGAAATACTATCTGTGTATTTTATGTTTTCAGATCACGTGTTATTAAAAATCTGCCCCACATGGCCCTTGACTGTTTCAAACCTACTCAGATGACATTATTATTTAAGGTAATACCTTCCAGTGTCACAAGAAGAATGCTTTCCAAAAATATATTTGACAAGTATAATAAATACATTTTCCATTAAATATCAAAACAACTGTAATAGAATCACTTAAACCAGGCTCACTAATCTTTTCTTCTGAAATGTTTAATATTTAATCTCATTTGATGTGGTTTTTCCTTCTCAAAAATTATAGATTTTATCTCTGAAAGTTCAATTTGGGCTTTGAAATATCTTTCACATCTCTAAATGTTCAATTATTCCTCTAGCTTAGTCATAATAGCTTTTTAAAATATTCGTCTCTGTGAATTCCATCGTGGGTGCCATTTCTAGATAAGTGTCAATCGGTTGATTTATCTCCCCAGGACTTGCCTTTCATCCCTGCTTCTTTATACACCTGTCTGTCTTTACCAGATACTAGGCCTTGTGAATTTACCTTGCTGGATGCTAGATATTTGTGTACTTCTTTGCAAATTTTTTAGCTTTCTTCTGGAAGGAAATGAAGGTATTTGGAAACAGCCTGGTTTTTTGTGGTCTTGCTCTTAAGCTCTTTTAGGTGTGACTGAAGAGCAATTAGTTTAGTATTAATGTTTCTCACTATTGAGAGAAAACTTCGTTCTGTCCTACACCAGACGCCCCTGAAGTCTGTGGCTCATCTCTGCTGCGGCTGTGGAGATGGCCCAGTGCATCCCCTGAGGCTGCTCCCTTTAAACTTCTGAGTCCCTCTGTCCCTGGCCCCTGATGTTTTTCTTGTGGAATGTGTCAGCCAGTGCTAAGCTTCAGTGCTGGTGTGGACTCTTCCAGATGCCCGGATTCTTCTCCACCCAGCCCTCTGCTCCCCACCCGTCTGCTCCCCACCCGTCTGCTCCCCAGCTCCCTGCTCCCCACCCCTCTTTCAGATGCTGAGTGCCGCTGGCCTCTCTGGCTCTCACCACCTCCCTCATGTCCTGGGAACCCCTCCAGGCAGATGCCTGTGGCTTCCATCTTTATCCCCTTGTCTCCCAGGGATCCTTGACATTTGCATCTCATGTGCAGCGTCTCCAGAACTATTGTTTTTTGTGTGTGGTTAGCTGCTTTTTACGTTGTTTTTAAAGTGGGAGAGTAAACCTAGTCCTTGTCACTCTGTCTTTGTCAGACATCCACAGAAGCTTGTTTTCAATGATGTGAAAAAATTCTTACACTTCAGCTAATCGTATCAATGTACACTACATCGCGTTACAGTTATTGCTGTAATATTGGTGTTTTCTTAAATTTTGTCCTTCATTCTAATGAGACTACTTTAAAAATAATTCCTTGGTTAATTAAGATGGAATCGTTTAGAATAAAATGAACCAAACTCAACTTTTCTCAAGAAAGGAATAATTTTTCAGTGTTCCTGGAGATTCCCCAAATTTATGTTTCTAAAGTTATGTTTGTTCCTAAAGCCTTTGAAAGTCACGACGCTTACACATCCCATGAAGCCCCCGGGAGAGGTCACTGGCTGTGCTCTATGCCTCTGTTTCAGGTGGCACGGCCGCGAGGCAGAGAGGCTTCCTGGGCTGCATTCGGGCACTGCAGGTGAACGGGAGGACCCTGGACCTGGAGGGAAGGGCCAAGGTCACGCCTGGTGTGGAGCCTGGGTGCCCCGGGCACTGCAGCACCTACGGACACTTCTGTCTCCATGGGGGGCAGTGCCGCGAGAGGCACCAGGGCTTCTCCTGTGACTGTGAGCTGTCTGCATACACGGGGCCCTTCTGCTCTAGTGGTGAGTGCCAACGGGGACCGGGGCCAATAGCAGTGTGTGGGCAGTGTGGACATTTAAGATTTAATACACATTTTCTGTGTAGCTACTTCATAAAAGAATCTCAATTCCTAAATTCCTGTGGTAAATCACTGTTTTACAGCCAATCTTTTTGTTAATTAGAAGGAAATGTGACTCTACTGTAAAATTCAGTATTGATCCCGTGGTCTTATTGAAATACTATCTGTGTATTTTATGTTTTCAGATCACGTGTTATTAAAAATCTGCCCCACATGGCCCTTGACTGTTTCAAACCTACTCAGATGACATTATTATTTAAGGTAATACCTTCCAGTGTCACAAGAAGAATGCTTTCCAAAAATATATTTGACAAGTATAATAAATACATTTTCCATTAAATATCAAAACAACTGTAATAGAATCACTTAAACCTCTTGCTCTGGGATTTGTTGATAATCTTGTGACACAATCAAAGTGATAGGATATGTTTCAGCCTCCCTCACCTAAGAGTTACAAGCCATGCTTTGCCAAGATAGAAGGAGCCTGTTGTAAGATGTGCATGATTCTGGGAACGTTCTGATGCATTTCATGCACCCGTGGGCATGCACGGAAAACACCATGAAACAAACCCAGCGCTTTCACTCAGGAATCTCTGTGCAGCATCATTCATTGGGCTTTGGAGTATAAGCTTGGATGCCAAATTGGATCAGCTGTTGATTTTCAAAAGAATTAACTGCCTAGAAATAGTGAGAACACAATTATATGTTATACTTCAAGAAAACTCTGTGTTGACAAACCAAGTCATCTCTCACCATTTCAAGACACAGGAGAAATCCATTTGTTCCAACAAAAACCTCAGATGATGTCAGCACAGGGGCTGGTGGCACAAGCCTCCCCCGCAGAGCCAAGGGCAGCAGAGCAGGTACACATTGGGAAAGGCAGGTCACTAGAAGCAAAGGAACAGCAGAATGAATGAGCCCCCAGTGTCAATGCAATCTCTGCCCAAATCATCGCCTGATCCTCAAGCTCCACAGCCTCAGGAAGACTTTCAAAGGCCGCCGGGACAGCAGGGATCCGCGGGGGGCAAGCCGGGGGAAACAGACTCACAGCTGTATCCGGGCATGTGAACCACCCCCCAGGCCAACAGCAGGGCAAAGATGCAGAGGCAGCAAGGGCAAGAAAGAAGGGCATTTGCAGCGAGGCTTCTGCAGCGTCCGGCTTTCAGTGATACACACCACACATGCAGACAATCAATGTCCAGCTTTCAGTGATACACACCAGACATGCGGACAATCAAGAAATTATACTCCACATACATGGGGAAGATGTGGTTACTGAGAACTGACTCTGAATGGCCCATTTTTCTCACTGTTTCGGCAAAGACACTGAATAGATATTATATATTACTCCAAGAAAATGAAGTTCAGAGAAATAAAGAAAATACACCGTCAATGAATAAGCTGATGTGGAACTCCAACAGAGCAATGGAAACCATTTTAAAAACAGATGGAAATGTAGTAGCTGAAAGATACGATTACTGAAATTGAAGAACCAATTGTGTATTCCTGTGGGCTCAACAGAAGAAAGAATCGGTGAACTTGAAGACAGGGCAATAAGAATACCCCAACTGAAGACTAGAAAGGAAAGATTCTGAGGGAAAGTGAAGAGAGCCTCGGAGTCTTGTGTGACCACATCAATAATTAAATAATTTAATTCTAAACAATCCATGCGTCAAAGAGCTCGTAAATGAAATTAGAAAATAGTTAAATGGACCAATAATAAAAATACACCACATCAAAATTTGACTGCTAACATCTACAGCAGTATTTAGAGGAAAATTTATGACTTCAAATTATTCGATTACAAAAGTATGCACATGTAAGCTTCATAATATAAGTTTCTAATTTAGGAATTTAGAGAAAGAAAACCAAAATAAACCCAAAAAAATTAAAAGAGAAAACAGATGGAGTAGACATAATGAAATAGAAAACAGACAAAGGAAGAGATCCCTGTGATTTAAAGCCGGTTCGTGGAGGAGATCAATAAAATCGATAAATTTCCACGAAGACACTCAGGAAAAAGAAAAAGGGAAAGAGGACACAAATTGCAAATGTCAGGAAAACAGATATGATGTCAAGGCAGAGGCTACAGACTCCAAAATAACCATGGGATATCATGGACGGCATCATGACAATAAATGTCATGACTTAGATTAAATGGGCACATTCCTTTAAAAGCACAAATTATAAAACTGACCCACAAAGAATGAATAACTTGTAACCACTAACAAATTTCTAAGTAAAGACCTTCTCAGCATAAAAATCTCAGGTTCAGATAATTAACTATTAATTTCTAGAGAATATTTGAGAAAACAACAATATCAGTCTGACACAAGCTGTTTAAGCATAGAAAGGAGGAGAGGATAATGCTCTAGCACCATTTCTAAGCCAACTAAAGATCTGATGCTAAAATCTAATAAAAACTCTACAAGAAACAAAACAAAACAAAAAAACCCATAGAAATATTCTTCATAAATACTGGCACGAAAATGCTTAACAAAATATTAGCAAAGCAAATCAAATAATGTGAAAAAAATAACACCCCAATCAAGTGGTATTAATATCAGAAGTGCAATGCTGTTTTAATTTTTAAAAATAAGGACAGTCATTATATTAACAGAATAAAAGCTATAAAATAGATAATAATTTCAATATCAGTGGAAAGCACATTTGACAAAGTACAGTATGACAACTAGGAATATAAGGCAAGTTTTCTAACTACATCTAACATCCTTTTACTAAAATGCTTACTGGTGAAAGAAAGAATGGTTTCCCCTAAAACAGAGAAAAAAGCAAAGATCTCTATTCCCACCACATCTTTTCAACATGCTGCAAGTCTTAGCCAGTGCAATAAGACAAGAAAAACAATAAAAAGCCACACATTGGAAAGAAAACATAAAATTCTCTTTAGTCATAGGACATATAATCATCTAAATAGAAAGTCATAAGGAATTTACAAAAACCTACTACAACTAAAAGTCACAGAAAATAATATACAAAAATTAATTGAATTTCTATTACTATTACAACAATGGGACAATTTTCAAAATAAAATTCCATTTAAAATATGGTAAAAAGTATATTTACAGATAAATGGAACAAAATAAGTATAAGACCTCTACAGTGGAAACTGCTAAAATAAATGAACGTCTAAGCAAATGAGGAATATAACGTGTGGATGAACTGGAAGACTCGGTGTTATTACTGTATCATTTCTTCCCAAGCTGATCTATAAACTGAGTGTTCCAAACAAAATTTTAGCCTAATTGTCCAGCTAATTCTAATTTTAAATGGAAATGCATGGGATCATGATTTTGCAAGGCATTTTTTTAAAAAGAAGAGACAGAAGATACATACATGTATATACAGATATAGATATAGACATAGACACAGATATTCAATTGATTCTTCATAAAGTGTTAAGGGCATTCAAAGGGGAAAAGGGGAGTGTTTTAAGCTATGGTTCTGGAACAACAGGATAGCCAGATGGGAAAAATATACATAACATAACCCTTAACCCATACCACTACAAATATTCACTTGAAATGGGTAGTAGAAACAAATGTAAAAGCTAAATTTATAAAAACTCTAGTAGAAAACCAAGGAGAACATAATTGTCACCCTGAGGTAGGAAAGTTTCTTAGAATACAAAAAGAATCCATGAATCATAACAAATTGAATTGTATCAAAGTTAATGATTTTCACTCATTAAAAAACTACTATGATAGAACGATTAAAGTACTCACATAATGGGTATCTACTGAAAGACTTAGGTCCAGAATATATGAGTAACTTTTACAATCATAACTCCACCAGAGAAGAGCTCCAGATGCAAATGGGCACCCGAGCAGTGCTCAGCGTCGCCGTCATGAGGGAAATGCAGGTTAAACCCATATTTAGATAGCACTGCACAAGCACTTGAATGGCTACAATTGTGAAGACTGACACTGCCAAGTATAGGAACTGATGCAAAGGAACTGGAATTCCAATGCACACTTGGTAGGAGGGTAAACGTTAGTGACTTTGGAGAACTCCTGGGCAGTTTCTGAAACATCAGTGATTCTGCTATCCGTGATTCTTAAGTGTTCATACAACACAAGTGAAAATGTAGAGGTCCCTGAAGTTGCACACAATGGCCTACGGCAGATTGATTCATCATCTCCAAACCTGGAAGCAACGTGAACATTAGGAAGATTGAAGGGGCGAGCAGATCTGTGCCTGGTCCAGTCAGGTCCTACTCTTCCACAACACGGATCAATGTAAACATTCAGTGAAAGACGTCAGGCAAAAAGAAACAGGGAGCTCCCAATGTGTGATTCCATTTACATGAAATCCAGAAAATGCCAGTCAGTGTGGAGTCACAGAAAGCAAATCTGTGAGGCCTGGCACGGGCTTCTGGAAGGAGTCACTGCCAAGAGCACAGAGGAGAAACGTGGGGACGTCCTGATACTGGTCATGGCGGTAATTTCATGGGTGGATACATCTCCCAAATCTCTTCCTATTTTCCTCTACTTGGGTGTGTTTATTGTACTAATTATGTCCCATTAAAGTCAATGAAAAGGTGTTTTGTCCCTTCCACATGAGCACAGATCTCACTTTTTAATGGTTCCATGTCTGCCTCTGTTCAGTGCAATCAGAATGTTTTCATTGTATTGTGAACATTGTATTGTGGACAATGAAGAAGTGACCGGTGTGACCTGGGGGTGGGTTTGGGGGAGGTCACTCAATGACTCTGCCCGCCAGGTAGGAACCTGCTGTAGCCAGAGAGATAAGAGCCGGTGCAGTGTTGGAACCACCAGTGCCCTCTTGTCCCCACGTACACACACTGCATCTGGGGTCATGTCACTTAATGCCAAAAACACCCTTTCATGAACTGACGTAGGAACAGCTGCATGGCCCTCTGGTGCCTGGATGTGCAGATGACCACTTTCCTCTCCCAAATTCGTGGTATTGCCCTCAGCTCACTATACATTCGAAGAGCTCACCTGTGTGAAAGCCCAAAGGAGAAAGGAAGGAATTGAACCCCCAGAAACTGGTTTCAAGCCAATCCCATAACCTCTATGACTCTCTCAATAAGATATTCGTAAAATTATTGCATAACTTTGTCAATTTATAGGTTACGTCCCATATGTCTTAATGGCTTATCCTGCTCAATTAGGCCTTCAAGATGCCACATCCCCCATTATAGAGAAACTGCTCACTTTCCATGACCACGCTCTTATATTTATTTCCCTAATTAGTTCCCTGGCCTTATATATTATTTCCCCAATACTGACAACAAAACTAACTCATACTAGCACCATAGATGCCCAAGAAATCGAGACTGTATGAACTATTTTACCTGCCATTATCCTAATTTTAATTGCGGGTCGTCAAGTAAGTCAGACTGAAATAACTGGACATTTGTCCCTGGGTCTTTGAAGGGCAAGGGGCCCTCTGAGCTCCTTCCTTTGTCACTCCTGGAGAAGACTGCCACCTGCAAAGTGAAGCCTCACATGGAGGGAGATTTAAGGAAGGAAACTGAAGACCCAGCAGGTGATGGCCAGGAAGCCTGAAACCAAACAGGAGCGCATTGAGCTTGAAATGGTAACATTGCCCAGAAGGATAAGCCTGTGTGATTTTAACACTGAGACTTAATAAGGACTGTCCTGAAGTTTGCAACGGTCAACTGTGATAGTCATTTCCGAGATATATGAGCATTTGTTAGGCCAATTTCTACTCTTCTATTTATTCAAATGTTCTAAAAATAGGTATACTTGCAATGAGCCTTTAGTCTTTAACAACTTAAAATGTGCGTATGATTTCAGAGATTTCTGCATATTTTGGAACTGGCTCCTCGGTGACTTACAATTTTCAGGAATATCATTCCCCAAGTACGAATGCCAGCTCCCACGCTGCCTCATTCCAGGGAGAGACGACGTTGACCCAAGAGACAATCGCGTTCAGCTTCCGAACAGTGCAAGCCCCGAGCCTGCTGCTTTATGTGGACTCTTTCTACAAGGAGTACCTTTCTGTCATCCTTGCCAAAAACGGTAAGTGTCATTTTGGTGTCAGAAAAGTAAATTATTACAACTGTAATATGACGACATGTTTAATGCCTCTCAAATTACAAATGAAGAAAAAATTGTGTGTTCTCCAAATGTCATTTTGCTTGTATGTGTTTTATTTTGTGGGACTATACAAACATTGTTGCAACAGTGTCATTTCAGTAATTGTGTAAGATCCTTCTGTAAAGTTTTTGATAAATTTGCATATCTCATGTAAAGAGAACTCTTATTATCCCTGGAAGGTCTTCATTAGAAGTATAAGGTGTCCGGTTATGTGTGGAAAATATTTTCACCTTCTTCTAAGGAAAGAGGAGAAGAATTGAGATGGCGGGAGCCTGGCAAGGCAGGTGTCCTGAGCAGCAGTGTCCTGCCCTGTCCAGGGTCCTGTGGTGGGCCCGGCCCCATCCACTCGACAATGAAAGTACAAAATCACAAGCGTCAACCAGCTCCTGCGTTTCCACGGTGGGAAATAAGGCCCAGCTTTAAGCATCTTAACTGGAACGTCAGGGTGCTGATTTAATATCTGGAGGAACTTACAAAAATGTCTGGCTAACAGAATTTTAGTACCTCCCCTGTGGCCATCAGAACACAGGTCTGAATCTCTTGAAGCAGGTAAAGCTGTCAGGAGCTATGGATCCACAGAGACCTTGCCTCCTGGCAAAAACATATCACAGTACTCACATCCCCATGTCCTGGTTACCGATGTGATTTTGGAACTGAAACCTACTGCGTGTCAAACCAACATGCTGCCATTTCAAGCGCAGCCCCGGGGTTCCGGCATCCAAAGTACGTATGGCTGGAGCCTCGAACGCAGTAGGAACATTTCGTCCCCAGGCTGGAAGGAACCTGGAAAGTGGTCGCCTTCTTAACCAGTAAAGAGGCAACGAGGATGGAGTCTAGGCCAGCGTTTAATCCGTGGCCACCACCAGCTGGACTCATCACAGCCCCTCAGGAACTCAGCACCCTCACAGCAACGCATGTTTCAGGGCCGGCTGTGCGTGTCTCTTATTCACCTTTCAGAATCTTGGATGTGCACACAAAGGAGATGGGAACAGACAAACAGAAAATGATTCCAACGTTTCACAAAGTTGCAACTTCAGCATTCCCTAATATCATGTTCTTTTTGCAAAAGTGGCGTGGGCTTTAGACTCCAGCATGTGTGCGATTCAGGTGTTCACTTTTAGAAAATTAAGCGTTGCAGGAAAGAGACTTCTTGTTAACAGCAACTTTGCCTTGACCTTAAAATAGCATGATGTGAGCAGCGGTGGCCCCCGGCGGCACCAGGAGGCAACGCCTTTCTGGGGAGAGCGAGGACTGGGAACACAGGGGCGCATCCCAGCGGAACCCTAAACAGACTCCATCTGCAAAACATTCCTCTGGAAGCACACGAATAGTAACAACTTCTCTGGAGTGAGGAAAGGCAGCTGTAAAAATATCTCGTTGTTTTAAAAATGTTCTATTTTCCCCTTTAGGGAGTTTGCAGATCAGGTACAAGCTGGACACACATCAAGACCCTGATGTCATTAACTTGAATTTCAGGAACATGGCAGATGGGAAACTTTACCACGTGAACATCAGCAGAGAAGA